TATATAACGTCTAGTTTATTTTAAGATAATACCAATATACAGGGTGTCTCAAATTCAAGTGGTAGACCAAACTTACCTTTTTTAAATGGAATGCCGTACTTTTTATTGCATATTCGATATAAATGTTCTATAATTATTTTCAACAGTTTTTCAGTTAATAACCAATTTTGATTCAACTTCGGTCTCCCGTTTATGCATCTAATTTGAAATATCAAGCAAAAAATCAAGTGTCAGACCAAATTTACACCCGAGTCATGTTTTCGATGCCTAGGTTAGCAATGGTAACAACTCCGAATTTGTCAAATTGAATAGACACAATTTGGGAATTACCCCAATTTTGCATCACATTGAATAACAGTACGACATTAGCAGTCAATTTTGCAAAATTGCTTCAACAGATTCACTTATACACAGAAAAAACCCGAATAGTATGAAAAACAAGCTATTATGTAAGACGACAATATTCCAAACGAATGACAGATAATAGGTCAATGTTTTATAACGTAACAATAGGTGCTTTCGCGATAGTAATATCTCTTTGTAGCTGCTTACTAACATATTTTACAAAATTAGTTAATAATCTTACTGCAGCTACAACTAAATTTCGAAATATAACAAAAACAGTTTTTATATTTAAAATACTTCGTATTCTATATTATGCTTATTATTAAAGGGAAATCAATTTATAGTCAAATATATTTAAGTTTGCTGGCACTTAATGTTCAAACATTTTAAATAAATTCCATACATCAGGAGAAACGTGCCTGTCGGATCGACAAGCATGAAAAAAATAACAATAACAATTTGTTACCCAATAATCGTTAAAAGCTGACAACATAATAAGAAACAGGAAACCACTGCTGAATATAAAGAGCAGCGAAATTCGGAAATTGACGCAGACACTAAATGAAATTCTGCTGTAGATTGCAAAATAACTTCAAAACCCACCGGATCCAATAGTTTGTGCCTAGAATTTTAAATCGAATCTCGTGTTACATAAATTACAGTTGTAGTGCCTTAAACAAACGATTCTAAGTTTGAACAAAATACACAATTTTAATTTTGCTTTAGCTACCATTGTAAACAATTATTGTGGATCAAGTACAATTATCCCGTGAGGATACTCATATTACTGCCTTTGATTGAACAAATGAATACCGTGATTGTCTAAAAAATTCTAAACATTGACAATATTGATAACATGTAACTTTGCGCCAAAGTGAACAAGACAATTTATGAACTAAAATTTCATGCCACAAACCCTGTCGACGTTCCCACTTCAATGTTCCGAACAAGTTTGGGATCGCCTATATTCGATTCAATACAGTATATATAATTCTGAAAATAAATTGAATTTTTATCTTCCATTTTAATGCAATATGTGATAACTGCCGAGAAACCCTTTTAAGATTTCAATTATTTACCTCCAAAGTTTATAGCACATCGAAAGTCGGTGAACGCGCTAATTGATTACGTACGTATATGAAGTGATAGCATTTTAATTAAAAAATACCGAGTTAATTGATTAAGTTAGCCGATTTTTCGATTTAATTATAAATGAGCTTTTAATTGAGATTGATTGTGAACAATAAAAATTTACACTTTACTTCCTTTTTCTATAAAACTTCGAACTTGGGTTTCACCGCGTACGTAGACGGTTTATACAGGGTGTCTGTAAAATATCTGAGCAAAATCGTACCACAGATTACTCGGGTGACAACACACATGTTCATTTAACCGAATATGTCAAATGCGAAAGTGGACGGTTTCCGAAATGCAAGGCAACACCTCTTTTAAGATTGCAATATCAAAAACAACTAATTATTTTTTTAAATCCTTCCATCTGAACGAAGTTATGTTTTGGGTGGTTTAGGGGCCGAACAATTAGAATGCATTAACATTTTCTGTTCACATTGAAGAGAGCCGATAGATAAGAGGGTGGTTTCAAAAGTCCGTGCAAAAATGAAAACTACTGAATTTTAAGGATAGATTATTTAAATTTTTCAACGTAATCTTCTTTTAGACTAATGCACTTCGTGGAACGATGATTTAGTTTGTTGATCTTTTCCGAATAATATGATTTGGCCAAGTCTGTAAAATAGGCATTCGATTCTGCAATCACCTCATCGTTCGAGTAAAATTTTTTTCCCGCCAGTCATTTCTTCATCTTGGGGGACAAGTAGTAGTTCGAGGTAGCCAAATATGGAGAATAGGGTGGGATCTGGAACAAGATGGTACACTACTTCCATCAATTTTGCAGCCACATCTGCTGAGGCGCGACCTGGTGCGTTATCGTGATGGATAAGGACTTTCATCTTGGCCAATTGTAAACGTTTTTCTTCCTGCTCGGTTGCAAACGGTTCAATAACGACGGCTAGTATTCCCTTTTAATAGTTTTAACCTATTCCATATAATCAAAGATTACTCCTTGCGAATCCTAAAAGACAGTTGCCATAAACTTCCTTGTCGATGGAACTGTCTTCGCCTTTTTTGGTGCAGATTACCCAATGCCAACCCACTGTTTGGACTGTTCTGATAAGACTAGTCGAGTGTAGACTGTGCTATGAAGTGGAAGTGTGCGATAGATAGATATTTAAACATTGTTAGTAGCGAGTTATTCGAGAAATTTTGAAACTTTTTATCGTGCAACTACCGGGTTTGCGCGATAAGTGACATGAATCCCGGAAGCTCACATGAATCGGAGTCAGACCAGGCCTCCCACGACGGGTATTTCCTCAGGCGCAAGACCAAAAAAGGGGTAGGGCGCCGAAGTCAGATCCAACATCCCCAGCGTCACCAACTCCGGCACCAAAGAAAACGGCTATTGATCGAGCAACAACGCAAACATCACAACTGGCTAAACCAGATGCGTTGTCTGACGGCTTTGTGACTCCACGAAAAACAATATCGTGGAGTTCATTAATTAAACAGTCAG